CCAGGCCATTTTCCGAAGTATGCACAAACGCTATTTTCACCAGTAACTTTTGCAATATACCTTTAATTTTAGCGAATTGGAAGCGTATGCTGAAAATATCACAGATTATCTTTTGCAAATGGCTCGCCAAAGCAGAATTCAGTTGTTCCCCTCGATGAGCGTAAAGGATTTCAAAGAATGTAAGCTTGTTTCTTATATCCTGATTACAAAGTGTCCGAATTGCGGCGAATGAAGAGAGAAAGAGAGAGGAAAGCTTGCCAATGACGCGACAGAAGTGCTGCTGAATTAGGTGTTTTAACAGGATTTTTTGGACTGTTAATAAGGGAGTTTGATAAAATCGCGGTGTAGATAACTTTGGATGCATCTGTGCCGCATCTGTAAGAGATGTAAGGGACTTTTCCTGTAAAGGCGTCTGTAAGGGACTTTTCCTCTCTTGTGCCTTAATTCTTATGTATATGCCCGTTGTTTTTATTACTTTCGGCAGTGGTTTGTTGTTCATTTACCCGCCCAAGCAAACATTTCGTTTCTCATGATTGAAGCTAATTGCGGCAAAATTTGTTACGCCCATGTTTCTTTTCGTAGCAAATTTCACTACATTGTGTTGTAATTTCCCCCAATGAACTATGCTGGAAGGAAATGCGAGCGCTTTCGTCATCACAATGGCTATTGCAGTGAGTGCCGATGCACGCCCGTTTGAGGTGCGTGTAAGACGGCCGAGGCGCGAAACGGAATTGGAATTTGTGGCGTACGTTACATTCCGTGACTTATCACTCGCAAGCCGTATCAGTGACGCTATTGCTACTTTAAAAACACCTCTCGAAATGGGCGATATCCGTCATCTGCATGATGTCAGTTTTTTTTCCCTTTAATCTTTTCATGATATTAGTTTTTTATGCGCCTTCTATTGTGTAACAGCTACACAAAACACACATTGCCACGCCTCATGTTGTATACGTGCGTGTGTGCGTATGTGTGTGTGTACGTCGAGGTGTCGTGAACGGAGCCCTCTCTCAAAAACTGCTCTGGACTGACGGGGAATCGAACCACCCGTGCTCACTTCCGGACGCAGTGTGTTACCACAACACCACCGGCCCTTGTGCTCCAAGTTCGGCTTGGTATCACATCTGCCTTTCAAGGCGAGATGCACCTTCCTCCTCTCTTTTTATGCGTTTTTTGCAGCAGTGCAATGCGAAAAACGCATATTGACGAGAGGTTGTCTGTGTGTTCGTGTGTCTGTGTGCCTGTGTGTGCGTCTGTCACGCACTTTCATCTCCGGACCTATAAAAGCTGCGATGTGTCTGTGTGTGCGCTGGGCCTCTGTATCGGTTTTTCATCTCGAGACCGGCAAAAGCTACGGAGCTGAAACTTTGGGGACTTGTTTGTGTGTGTGTCTGTGTGTGCGCTGGGCCTCTGTACCGATTTTTCATCTCGAGACCGGCAAAAGCTAAGGGGCTGAAACTTTGGGTTCATAATCTACATGCACGTACGGGACCCCATCCACAAAATTGGCGCCAAAACCCGCGTGGTATCCGCGTACGGGCTCGCCAAAGTTTTTTTGGGGTCGGTTCATAACTCGAGAACCTGAGAAGCTGGAAGGCTGAAATCATGGGGTAATGTTCCCCGCCCAAGCGGCTATTAGTGGGCTTAAACCCAGACCCCGGGTAAGCATGGTACCCCCGTACGAGCCCGCCAAAATTTTTTTCAGGTAAGTT